GCGTCTTACTTCCATCTGTGTCTGAGCCGAGTCGCCACTAGCGATCTCAACCATATCCCCCTATACTTCTAACAGGTTATGGGCCCCGTGAGTGCTCCCCGCTGCCTCTAATCCTCTCTATTCTTTGCACTTTTGCACTCTTTCACTTTGACGCGTCACCTTGCCAACCCTCTTCCGACTTCTTCCGTTCCAATTTTGGACGCGTCATCCACATCATTCTCACGCTTCCGACTCCTTCCGTTCCATTTCGGACGCGTCATTCATTCCACACCCCGATTTTTTCCGGCTTTTCCGCCTTCATCCGACGTCATTCCTATTGGTCATCAACATTTGCCGACCCTTCCTCCGAGCGACGCGTCGTCCATATCATTCCAGTTTTCGACACTTCTTTCGACATCGACTTCGTAGACGCGTCTACCCTCTATCTATTGTGGTATTTACCATAACATCGACAATTACGAACGGAAGTTCCACGCGTTTGTACCGACATCTGCAGCGCCGTGGAATTTCAGTTCGGGTGGGAGACGGGTTCATGGTGGTTTTGGTGTAACAATTTGGCGTGGTCATGGGTTATCTTGTGTGGCGCATTTCCGACTTGCTTGCACACAAGAGTTTTGCGTGGTGAAGAACAATCGACGTGAACGAGCTTTCAATCGTGCTCACAATGGTCACCTCCTCGACGTCGACTTCGACTTCTCATTCACTTGACTTCGGTGGCATTTCACGTTCACGTTCAAGTGCCTCTTCACGTCTAATGGACTTTGGTTTGGGTGGGAGTTGCGGTCGAAGCGGTGGGAGTTGTTGATTATTTATCTATCTTCTTTCTTGCCTTGCACGCCTCATCAGGTGGGAGTGTTAGAATAGTTGTTTGTTTCCGCGTGCTACGGCATCAATCAATCCGTCGTTTGCTTGCGTCTTACTTCCATCTGTGTCTGAGCCACTCTGTGTCTGTGTCTGAGCCGAGTCGCCACTAGCGATCTCAACCATATCCCCCTATACTTCTAACATAGGTTGCCGCAGCGTAACGTCCTTGCAGCACAGAGTAAACATCTGCTACGTTATCTTCGAAACTAACTCGAGTATGTATGTCACTTCTGACCGTATACGGTTCAAATTATTGCATCTGCAAGCTGTGAACCTTCTTCCTTCGTCTTGTAGTTGTTCATTCAGTGCCCTCTCATTTGAGATTTCCTTCCTTTGCCCTGCAATGTTGACCGATGTAGGGCCGTAACGTCGCGCCACAAAACTTGGTTGATGGTGGCGATACACCCTATTATAGACCCCTATTTGACCAGCGTGAACGTCTCAAATTCCCCTCACAAGAAAATGCCCACGGCTCCCCGCATAGGTGTGCCCCCCCTCCCCCGTTCACCCGTCCTCCTCTCATGCCAAGCATGCCAGACGGCGACTATGTGCTCGAAAACTTCAACGCATACGACGCCGAGGGTATAATCAAGATCCTGTCCGCCCTGCAGTCCAACGATGGAACCGAGAATATCGACATCGACCCCAACACGACCTTCACGGCGCTCCGTAACTCCTTTGCGGAGGCCCAGTACGAGGGCGTCGCTAAGTTTTTCGGCCTCGTTGGGGACGAAGAGGAACCGTTCAAGGAGTGGAAGGACATCGATGTTCCCCTTGTCGTGCTACCGATGTCGGTGATCGAGAAGGTCGTGATGAGGACGATGGAGTCGTTCGTGCGCGAGCCTGCGACGGGGTTGTTCCGTGGTGGGGTAAGTACTTCCGTTACCCGTGAAGCGGTTTACGATGAAATTGCTCACAGGCTTTTCAATCTCTGGTCTCTCTTTTCGGAGGTATCCTGCAATACAGGCCAGAACACACAGCTTCTGGGACAGATTTTAGCAGTGGCGAGGAAGCGGCCATTTTCTGTCACGACGAGATGCTGTTTTTCGTGCGCGAGTTCAAAAACCGCCGCCGATCGGAAAGGAAGAAGTTCATTAAAGCTCTCGCCCAAGTCCTGTGCGAGTTATTTGGTGCGCTGTTACTTGAATTCAAAACGCGAGTGCCGATGATGCTGATTCCGGTGATTGTACAGGTGTATGGCACCTAAATCGCAGAAAGAAAGAAGACATCGACCCTACCATGCTCATCCCAGTTCACGCATGTCTCTACGACGCAACCGATTTCTATTTCCTCTCCTACGACGGATTCGGTTTCCGGAAGCGCATTTTCCGCAATAGCGTGGCGCCTCAAACGGGGGGACGAGACGTTCAAGACTATGTGTATGAGACCTTGCGAGGTAAGGTTCAACTCCAAAACCATCGCCATTACTTATTCGAAATTTTTTTTACTGACATTCGAGTCTAGTGCACATGTACACGTTCGCATTGCTGCTCGAAGGGTACAACAGCGCCGTCACACTGCAGTATGAGCGTTCAGTGCGACGGAATTTACTCCTGGGGCCGAATGTAAGTAGTGTAAGCACCATCGGAATTTCATGCGTTACGCTGAGCTGAGTCCAAATCTTTCAGGTGGGGCGCGGCGCGTGCAGAGACACCGGGCACAGCACAACAACAGCAAGTGGCTGGCGCACTGCGTGCCGCCTGGCGTACGAATCGCGCGCCTTTTTCCAGAGAGCGCAAGAAGTGCACTCGAACGAGCCCGCGGAAAAGGGGCTCCGGCGTCTTGCTGAGAGGTTGGTTGTGCTTCAATTCTCCTCCTCCTCCTCTTTCCTTCGATATAAAACAGCTCACTCGCTCATACTGCAACAGTGTAGAAGTGTGGTCGCCGGCGCAGGGAGGTGGAGGAGTCATCCACCTGCGAGTCCTCCTCCCGCCCCAGGTGAAAGCGATGGCCGAATTGGTCGCGAAGCGCCACGAGCGGAGTCTACAGGCGGACTACGATCTCAAATGGGTGCCGCCCCACTTCCTCGGTGTCGAATCGGCGACGGTGCAAGTAAGATTATATAGCTTCCCTTCAAGTCATCTTCATCTGAGTATCAACACCAATTTAGGAGCGCAAGAACCGCGCCACAGACGCGTTCTGGGCGGGCCTGCACCGCAGCTTCCGCACGCTCTTCGAGCCGATGATGCTTTTCAAAGGCGACACCTTCCTCGGTCTTTCCGTCGCCGCCCACGAGCCGCGCGAATACCAAGCGATCTTCGAGAAGCGCGCACCACGGTTCATGGCGCTCGTGTTGATAAAGAAGCTGGAAGAGTCGCAGCAGGAAGGGAACTGGGTGGAGGATTGGGAATAATGGTCCGAAAAAAAGTTGTTGAGCGTGATCTTGGCGTGATCCCAGTGAGGACCCATGATTATCCCTACAGAGGTTGGATACCGAGTTCGGACAAAATTTTCGGAAAATTTTGGCAAAAAAAAAGCGAAAAAGAACGGCCTTGTCGAAATAATCGTTTTGGCCGATTCAGAAAGCGTGGGAAAGAAAAAAAAGTTCGGACAAAACTCAACTTTGGGCCCGATTTCGGTATCCGACCTCTGGTGGGATAATCATGGGTCCTTCCCAGTGCGAGGTACGAGTGATGGGAGCTACGGGATTCGCGCAGCGAGGATCTTTCTCTTCCCACCACTCAAACTTCTTCGCATTCCATCGATACGAAACCTAAAGTTGTCCATTTTTTTCAAAATGTTTCAGTTATGTACAATTATTGCCTATTGCCCATCCTCGGGTAGATGGATCCCTCAAAAGAAAGCGACCTCCGCTGGAGGCTACATATAGAGAAATCCACCCTGAACAGGATGCCACATAAACCACCCACATTCTTTCTTTTACCGCGGGCACCCTCAGTCAAAGCGTCGAGAAGAGGGTTGATTAGTCCCACTGTGATGGACAGGACTGACGTGGCAGCTGTCCAACGTGTCAAGATAACGGAGGAAGACGCGAGAAGCCTTCGGGTCCTTTGTGTGTCACTGCGTGTCTAGAGCAACCACGTCGGACTCGGGCGGCCGAACTTGGGCCGAACGGTCCCGGTGATGAACTGTTAAATGCCCTTCTGTTCTTTCTTTTCCCCCTTTCCCAGCAAGTCAACATGAAATGAAAGTGCCGTTGCATTGTAAGTATATAATCTGGGCGACAATGCAAGAGGCACATCTCACCCAAAATGTTTATTGACATTTTGTTACGGAGAGATGATAGTACCTCGGCTAGCAGTGCCGACAGGAATTGATGCCCCGCCGTGTTCCGCTCACTATCATAGTGATTATTCTAATATCCAATTTATTGGACCTCGGTCAACTTGAAACCTCGGTGCGCTCTCTGATGTCCTCAAATCAACCTCAAATCCTCTGCCCAGTCTTCTCTGCGGCAGCTTAGAATTACAGGTTCAGCAATAGATTTTTGATGGTTCACAATTCCTTGGAGTGACAGTGCATAATGAGGTGAACAGGACGAGAAAACTGCCATATCACATTGGTGAAAAATTACGAAGTTTCATAGTGTATTAGGACATCTCACCAATTTCCCATAAGCTCAGTGAAAGCCAAAGAGGACAAAGCCCTCTTTTGATCACTGACTTTGATGGACCGGGGATTCTTCTCCTTTTTTTCCCCTGACTCTTTCGGTTAGTTTTAGGTGAAAAGCATAGTAAACAATCCCGAGAAAAAGACTGGAGCCATAGAAAGCAAGGGGACACAGAACTATGAAATCTTTAATGCCGACGGCATCAGCGGCAGAGATCGGCAACGCTTCGGGGTTGCTGAATAGCGGCAACCCCCGTGCCAAAACTATTGGCTTAACCAAGGGGAAAATTCTAATCAACCGACTGAAACAGCCCTCCGAGTCATTAAAAGTAGCGGAATTACAAGAAGAAGTGCTTAGCCACAGCTTCCAGACCGAAACCGCCAGCGGAACTGTCATACTGGCAGGAGTCTCTTCTATTACGCGCCATCACAGTAGGACTAATCAACCCCATCCTCCAAAGCGTCAAATATCGAGTCACGTGGATATATCATTCAAGTCTGGGATTCCAGGCCTACTGTCGTGGACAAACTGCAAAAAAGGACCAACGTCACTCTTCAAAAGATGATGCCGCGGGTGGGAATCGAACCCACGTAGAACGATGAAAAGCATGGAACCATGTACACTCGTACCGCGCGCCTAACCTCTCGGCCACCGCAGCGTTCTGCATAATTTCATACAGCACCTTTGCCAAATTCGGTAGGTAGGTACATAGCACAAGGGGCATAACCCGATAAATCATGCAAACATAGCCAAAACATAGGTTGGTCACAGTTATAATGAGTTTCACATGTTACACCAAAATTTTTTGGAAATTTTTTAAAAATGTGTTTTGAATGAAATCTGCTGAAATATTGGATACACATTTCTTGTGCATTCTGCATATGTTTCTACTGTGATTCACCATATATTTAGAGTGTATTCACATTGAATCCAGGGATTAAAATGGAAACCCAGTCAGACTGTGTTTCCAATAAGTTACAAATATGGCGTGTAGAAATTTGGAAGACATATCTGATACATGTTTCTGATATGTTTCCAGTATTGTTCAGCATTTGTTCACCCTATCTTCCACCTAAGTATCAAGTAAATCACCTTGTAAAATGCAGCACACATTCCAAATATGTTTCCAATAAAAACACCAGAAACTTGCGAAACACATTTGAACTGTATCTACCATGTGTTTCTGCATATGTTTAGCCTATGTTCAGACAAAGTTTGCGGCCAAGATGCTGGACATATACAAAAAATGTTTCAAGTAAGGCTTACCACAACATACGAGACAGATTTTTATTGTGACCTGGCTATGTATTGAATATGTTTTACAATATGTTTCGGCTGTCTTCAGGATAAAACTGTGATCTGAATGCAATGTATATTCAAACTGTATTTTGCGTAAGGTGCTCACATATATTTGTATGTCCATTCCATGTGATTCCGCCATTATTTTGGTATGTGACTCCACTGACTTGTGCAACCAAAGTCAAAGTACGTCTCGGGTATATTTACCAGTCATTGGTCCGATCCAAGGGAGACATATTCTCAATAAAGTGTCATGTGTATTTTCAATAAGGCTTACTGACAAAGGTGAGATGTATTTTGAATACATTTTCTAAATGTGTCTGATATCATCCAGCATGATTTCCAGATATGAATTGTCTGCGTCAAACACATGTGTTTGAACAGTGTCTGGAATGAGGGCAAAATACATTGCCACTGAGTTATAAGCCTATGTATGCTGGCTGTGACCTCTCGTTCCACCTGGCTTGATTGCTGTCCTCAACAACGGCCTCCTGTTTTTCTGTGACATGGCCTACTCATTGTTGCTTCCACTAGCATACATGAAACCCATCAGCATAGGAGGGCTCAGGCTAAAGCCATACAACATCAGCCTCCTCATAGGGATCTGCAGAATCCAACCCACTGTCCAAACTTTCTTTGGGGGGCAGATAATCCAATATGTTGACCCGTGCCACATCTTCACAACAAGTTTCTAGGTGCCAATCCTCATGCTGGCCACATACCTGCTACTCAGCTTCCTCGCTGCACATGCAGGGTGGTGCGGTCATCACCATCCCTGTTGCCATCCTCATTGCCCAGCTTAGCTGCACACTTGTGCTGTACCCCATGTTTGCTGAGTCTTCTGCCTATGTTACAGATCCTCAGTGTTCACAAAGATGATGTAGATGACAACAATCTTCATTATGGACCCTGCGCTGAACAAGGCAAGTGTCAGGAGCGTGAGTGGGCTATCATAGATGGTGGGGATGACATTACACAGCATCATTCTCTTCTTCATCGGGTTGACACTCGGTGCTGTCCGTTGGGCAAGGTATACCTGCAGTTCCGTAGTCTGTCATTTGTGTGGTTGAGCAGTTGTTGAAGTTCTATGGTTGACCATGTCCAGCTGTTGAGCAATTTGTGGGCAAGGCATTGCTGTTTGTCATTTAAGAAGTCAGGCAGTAATCTGAGTATCTAGTTTACGCTTGCAGCAGTCATTGCAGCTCTGTGGTTGACCAGGTTAAGCTGTTGAAGGATTTGCAGGCAAGGTATTCCTGCAGTTTTGTAGTTTGCCATTTGCACAGCAGAGCAGTTCCACAGTACAGATATTGAATAGTTGAGTGGTCTATGCCCGAAGCCGTTGCTGCAGCTTAATATTTCAGGACAGATCTATCTACCCATGAGCAGAAGGTTGACTTTCTATGCTGTTGGTGGAGGGCATAAAGCCTTGCCATATGATGAAGACATTCTGCTGTGCTTGCTGGATAGGTGAGCTTCTTGAATATTTCTTTCGCATTGAGAAGTGCCTCTCGAACTTGGACTGCTTTAAGTTGCCATGAAAGAAGATTAGTGAGTCTGAGGAAACCATGGGTGACATTTTCTTTTTGGTGCAAATTGTATGAGAGATTAGCCTGAGCCTCGAACGCAAGAGAGTGAATTTTGCCAGCTGGGAATGTGAGATTCAACGTGTACATGTTGCATTCGACAAGCTCCATGGTACGTGGTTGAGCAGGTCGACCTGTTGGGTGATTTGTGGGCAAAGCATCCCTGTAGTTTTGTAATCTGTCATTTGTTCAGCCAGGCAGTTCACCAGTTGAGATATTCCGCACTTGAGAAATCTATGCCTGGAGCAGTTGTTCCGGTTCTGGGGCTAAGCTGTTCAGCAATTGTTACAGGTCTGTGGATGGGGTTGAGCTCTTCAGTGATCTGTGGGCAAGGCATTTCTGCAGTTTTGTAGTTTTTCATTTTTTCATTTCAGCAGTTCAATGGTGGGAGGTTGTTGCAGTTCCGCAGTCGACTGGATTGAGCCATTAAATCATTTGTGGGGAAGGTAATTTCTGCAGTTCCTTAATTTGTCATTTGTGCAGTCAAACAGTTGTTCAGTTGAACAGTTTATGCCAAAAGGGTCATCTTGACAATCCTGTCCGTATTTATACCTAAATCCAAAGTCCGTTACTCCATGTTAATTACTCATATCCTGACCACTGGTCCCGCAAATTCCCACAGATTTAGAATGCAATCCCTCCGATTGGTTGGTCAAGGAGTCATCTCGACTCATGAAACTGCTCAGTTGGTTGAGTCTCAATTTGGTTCCATTTTTCCTACTGTTTGTCTGTTCTTTGTCAGTAGCTCTATGTCCCGAGCTCATGAGGGTCTTCTTTGTCTCGACAGCCTTCGTCGCTTGAATATGGTATCCCTAATTATATGGTTGTCTCGAACCCTTCTTGTATAAACTCTTGTTCTTGGTAAACTTCGGATCTCTCCGTGTCTAAATTTGGATGTTACTCCGTTCCCGTAGAATAACACATGAAATTTTAGTCCAGATCTCATCGGACTCGACGGTCTGGGCCCGCACATGATCTAACATGTCATGGTCTTGATGCCAAATAGATGCAACTTTGGTCTTGTCAATCATTTCTGAGCGACTTTGGTTCACCTACATGCGGCATAGTGAAATTCCTTCCCTTCTCCTTGGTATGTGTCCTAGCAAACAGCCCAATCTTGGCCCCTTTTGTGAAGGTACCGCCATAGGGTCTTCCACATTGTCTCGACAGTGCTAATAGACTTATAGGCTACTTGTTCGGAGCTCCCGAAAGCCTCTTGTATATAGAGAACACATGTTTGACTACTAGAAATATGGAAAATGTGCAAATTCCTGTGTACTTGATTACACGGCTTATCACCGGAGAAGTTGTTGCAGTTCTGTGGTTGTGTCTGCAGTTCTTTTGCACATTGGGTTTTCATCTGCGTAGTTCTGCTCAACCACAGAATATGTCTACTGCTGAACTGCCCCACTGCATAAATGCCAAACTATGAAACTGCAGGAAAACCTTGCCCATGGCTCCTTCAACAGCTCAACCCAGTCAATCACAGAACTGCAATGACCTTGCCCAGAACTTGCTCAATGGGTTGGAACAACATAATAAACTCCTCAACCATAAAATATCCCCACCACACAACTGCTCAACTGCCCAAATGATAAACTATGAAAATGCAGGAATGCTTTGCCTGCAAATCACTCACCAGTTGGACCTGGTCAACTGCAGAACTGCAACTGCAGTTGACCAGGTTGAATGGTTGAATGATTTGTAGGCAAGGAATTCCTGCAGTTTCTTAGTTTTTCATTTGAGAACTGCAACAACTGCTTTGGGCATAAACTGCTTGACTGCAGAATATTTCTATGTTGCTGAACTGCTGAACTGCATAAATGGAAAATCCCAAAGTGCAAAGACTGCAAACACAACTGTAGAACTGCAACAACTGCTCTGGGCATAGACTGCTCAACCACAGAATATCTGTACTGCTGAACTGCTGAAATGAAAAAATGACAAACTGTGAAAGGGGTGGAATGTTGCCCACAAAGGGGTCAACAGCTCAACTTGTAACCACCAAACTGCTACAGGCGTAGACCATTCCACTGCAGAAGATCTGTGCTACAGAACTGTCAAATGGGTCAACTCCAGAACTGGAACAACTGCTCCAGGCATAGGATGCTCAACTAGCGGAACATCTCTACTGGTGCACTGCTTGGTTGCACAAAGGACAAATTACAAAACTGCAGGGATGCTTTGTCCACAAATCAATCACCCAACAGCTCAACCTGGTCAATGTATGTAACACCAAAATCTACCTGGAGCTGTTGAGTGATTTGTAGGCAAGGCATTCCTGCAGTTTCGTAGTTTGTCATTTATGCGGTTGAGGAATTTATGCATGGAGCAGTTGTTGCAGTTGTGTGGTTGACCAGATTACAGCCGATCCGGAAAGTAATGAGAATAACTTTTTTTTTTGCGCGTTTCTCAATTTGGGAATTCCAGATGCAGGCGGTGGTGGGTTCGATCCCGGGCAAGGACATAATTATTGTCGGCAATCTTTCAGCGGCTTCAGCTTAATGTGGGCATAGAAATTCGACCGGGTTGTACCAGAGGTGATATTTTGTTCATCCATGGACTCAGGTGGAGGCAGGGCAATGCAGGAAACAATATGTGATCTCCCATGTTCCGTACTGAGAGCAAGTACAGTAAGCTATTCCAGAGCATTCAGACTCACAGTAGGACATTTGAAGGATCCACAGTCACTCTGAAGCCATCCAGGATCTTTTTACAGAAACTGAACAGGATATAACATATTACTTCAATTATTTTGAGCTCACTTGAACCTGCC